GCAACAATTTTCTGGAACAACAACAAGAGAAGCAATAGCAAAGAACAGGAAAATAGAATGGAAAATAGCATGAAAAATATAATAAAGAATGGAAATCTAAATAACAATTTAAAGGATAACAACAACAGTAGCAATGTGAGCTCAATGTGAGCATTAAAAAAGATATCACTTAAATCTGAGTTAGCCATAAATAAATTTAAAAAATAGGTAAATTAATTAATTATTTATATTAATAAAATATAATATCAGTATGAAATAATAAACCAATTTTTTGTGCATATTCTTCAGTAACAATCATAATTTTGAATGTTTTAAAAGTGTGTAAATCAAAGTTTTAGATATTTTTCTCTCGATGTAGATTGAATTCTAAGTGAATGCAACAGGTTTAATCCAACAATTGAAGCATCATTTCTCAGTTACTGTGTGGCAGCAACAATATAACTCAATATTTAAAATCGCTTTACTTGCAGAAACAAACAATATATGTGCCACGAGCCGACCCCCTGTTGCGATATTTATAGAGCCTGAATGGCGCCGCAGCAGGTCCTGTGTCTTGGTGAGGCTTCCTTCCTTCCTTTCACTTTGCTGACTTTGAAACGTTTCCGTCGGCAAATTCAACAGGTTGCTCTTGCAGTTTATATTTTTGTCAACAATAGCCTCAACCTGGCAGGTTTTTGCAATGGCACAAAGAGTGTAGCCAGCTTTTGGGCGAGCACGTTTAATGGAGGAGAACAAACAAATGGCGGCGGAAAGTTGTTGATGGGAAAATAAAACGGAAATGGCGTCAAAATAAATACTAGGAAGGTTTATATAGTGTTAAAACATATTTAAGATAATTAAAATGAACTGAAATTGCTTTAATTATTATCAATTATTATCAATAATTATTATAAAAGGGAACTTGGTATAAGAAACTTGACCTTAAAAAATAAATTCAACTCAATTTTAAAATTTGTTTTAACAAAAACTAAAGCAATTTAGTTTTTTATATGCACAAATAATAGCTTAAACATTAAAAAATATAATTAAATTAATCCTCCCTTTCAGCATAATCATATTTGAGCCAATAAATCCATTTATATAGCACTTTTGTGGCAACCTCAATACCATTTCCGCTGACTTGGTTATGAAATCAAAGACAGAACAAAACTTACATAAAAGAAACACAAAGCTGCGAACACTACAAAATGATATGCGCATTGAAAATTTAGTCGTTTTGGTGAGCGAGAAGGTTTTTCATTCTTTCGCAAAATGGGAAAATTCATTGAGGCAATTCCTCGAACACAAAAAAAAACAAAAAACAAATTAGCATATGAAACGGAAAGTGAAGATAGATATTTGCAAAGAATAAATATTTAAGAACAAAAAATGTGTGTGTAATTTGCAATGCCGATATATAGAAAACTGTGTTCGGGCCATGTAAGCTGATTGATAAACATCTGTGTCCTGTCGCTAGCAGATGGACTTAGGGGGAGTTTCCTGTGATTTGATATTATCCTGCATTTGACAGGACATTCCTCGAAGGCCAAGCCTCTTTTCTGTTCAGTTCAGTGACTGCAGTTTACATAAGAGTTGTTCGAGGGGATGACTGACAGCTTCAAATTGAAGGGGAACCCCTTTTGACTTTAATTTAAAATGTTATTTTATGATTGTTTGTTCTCTTAGCTAAAATATTTAAATATGAGCGCCTAATCGAAAGCTAATTTAGCTCTTTAAAGCTCAGAGAACAAGATGTTAAGCTTAAAAAGGGGTTAAGTTAATTCAAACTGTGCTAGGTCGTGTTTTTAAAGACAGAATAAATATTCTCTGGGGTTTTTCTCTCACCTTTTCTTGTTTTATTTTTGTTGCACTCCAAAGATCGCTACACTGTGATGATTTTTTTATTTTGAAACTGTAGATAATTGTTGACCAGTTTTCCCTTGAGCTTTTCTTTAAGCACTTTAATGGTTTCTTTGTGGGCTTAGATCTTGTGCTAATTTCAGTCACTAGTTTTCCACTTTAGAAATGGGTTTTTGTTTTGTTTATATCTGTAAATATTTTGAAATTGATTTAGTTACTATATTTTTTATATTCACAACACTTTGCAACACTCGTTGCTCTTAATATTCTTTTTGGTTTATTTCCTTTGCTCTTGCTTTCTCTTCATTTGTATTATCTTTATATTTAATCTGACTTATGTAAAGTACCAAAACAACAATAACAATTAGATTGCACTTTTTTTTCTTGTATCACTTCAAAGGCACTGAGAGAAAAAGAGAAGAAGCAAAGCAATGTAATGATTCACAAATAAAATTGCACGATTTATTGCAATTTTTCAAATATCTTGACACTCAATTCTTTTTTTAAATTGTTTTCCACAGACCAGTGACTTTAATCATAATTTTAATTACCAAATTGTTTTTTTAATCTCTCAAGTTGAAGAGTTATTTATAAGAGACTTATTTATTTGAGAGTGGAATTTATTTTATTCAGATAGAATATAATATATATTTTTAATCCGCTCAACGAACCGCTTGCTGGGAACGCACAATGTTGAATGCGAGCTGGGTTCTGCCACGATAACCCAAGTCAGATACAAATGCATCGCACAGATACGAGCACACACAGAGAGAAATGGCACCCACACACACACACACCGAGGGCAACGTGAGATGCCACAAGTGTTCGCTTTGTGTGTTCGTGAGAGCGGATTCTCGCTCGCTCGCTGGCTCGCCCGCTCGCGGAACCCTCACGTGTAGCGGCAACGTGCCGCACGTTTATTTCGCCCGCCGGCCAGCGAGTGTTCGATAACCATGAATAACCAGCAGCGGAGGAAAAACACGGAGAATACTCTGGGAAACAAACGGCAACAGTCAGTCGGAGCTATGAGAGGTGGCACTGGGAAAAATAATGTGCTACTAACCAAATCGATTGATTCATTGATTAAATATTTGGAAATTAATTAAGTCAAATCTATGTTACTGAAAATTTTAAATGGATAATTTTGATAATTATTTTGTACTCATTAAATAATTATATTTAACTAATTTTCTTTATACTTTCTCTAAAAATTTATGGAAAAATGCATGTCATTTATAAAACCTTTTTAGAATTAATATTTTCAGAAGTTAAAACACATTTATAATAAATTGTATGTTAAATTAAATTAAGTTAATAATTATACATCTTAAACATTTAATATATGTTAGTAAAATCTTTCAAGGTTTTACTTTAGGGCTTATGTAGATGTGATCATCAGTACCCCAAATATACATATATATATGTATATGGTTAATATTTTATTTATGTTTATGTATACCTTAAATTTGTTGTATTATCATAGTTTGGTCTTTTAATATGTAAAAAATCAAACCTATAAAATTTTTAATATTTTATTGGGGCTTAGTAATAATTCCCAGTGTAGCCTTAAGCGTTTCTCCCTAGCAAAAAAAAAAAAACAAACCAAGTAGAATTTCTTGCCACTGAATCGATTCGTTCGTAGGCTTCGTCAGGGTGACTTTTGCTCGGCTCTGACTGCCGCAGATGATGATGACGCTTCTAGTTTGTTGTTGTTGCTGTGAATCCGTTTCTTAATCCTTTTGGAGAATCGAACCGAAGGGAATCAACAGTTGTCAGCGGGCACACGCGGCGTATACGCACTGAGCGGCATATTACATACATACATATATAGTATAGTATTTTTATATATATACTTCTCTCGCTGGTCGAGCCCCAAAGCACGTCGTCACCGAATCGCGGCTGCAAATCAACTGGAAACAAAATGAATCGGTGGTCTGGGTGCTCACTTCTCCCGCCCGGCTCGTGAGCGTGTCTGGTTACCGGAGGAGTCTCACATAAACGCCATAAAGTGCATTCTTATTTGACCAGAATGTGTTACTCAACATGACTTGTGATGTTTATTTCCCCAAAGAGTCAGGCTATCAGGTTGCGACAACGAAAAAAGCTATATATAAAATATATAATTAATATAGGTAACAAGGTGTAAGTAAAATGTAAGTTCATTGGCAGGAAGTAAGGGGTTTCATAAGCAGGTGAAATCTTAATGATGGGATACGAAAAGGTTGGAAAAACATTTCAAAAAATATAATATAAGTAAGTATATAATTGTACTTATAAGTAACTTTCTCTTGCTTTTTGCAAACACTTAGTTATTTGCACTTAGTTATTTGCAAACACTTAGTTATTTATCTTATATTTCACTTATTTGTTCAACATTTGACAGAATTATAATCAAAAAAAAGAAAAGTGATAGTAACAGAATTCTACTACTGCTATTATTTAACCCACTTGAACTGATCAACAAAAGGTTTCCATGATTAGCAAACGTTAGTTGTGCGATCAAGGCTGTGCAAGTACAAAATCATCCAGATTGTGCAACATCTAATGTTAATTTTTTCACAGCTAATTTATCACTAAGTAAACACAAACAATAAAGACGGGGGAATCTGGCCAGCAGGAAAGTAAGCTGATTGCATTTTAAATTGTTCATGCTGGCGTGGATACAAAATAACCCTGGCCCCGACGTATACGTAATGCAAATAATTGCGTATACGCCGCATGTAACACATGAACTCTCTCAGTCCGATAAGCCCACTACTCACAATGGGCCCAACTAAAACGGAAAACTATTGAGATGCAATCTCTGGAGGCAATGCCCAGTCAAGCAAGTCCTAGAACCCGTGCGACCGTGTCGCCATCCTTTTAACGTGGCCAACTAGGAGCTCAGTACGAACAACGCGACATGCGCCGGCCGAGTGTGCGAGAGGCAGGAAGTCGCGTGTCTGCCAAGTTGGCTGCGTGCTGGCAACGTGTGTGAATCTTTCTGGGAAATAGCATTATGAAATTGTTTAGAGCGGAATTTCACAGGGAACCTAAGGCCTAAGTCATCGATTTATAATGGGTTCTAAGCAAAAGCTACAGGAAAATGTAATTTCTATTTAAATATCAAATTTATTTAAATCTTATAATAATTATTAAACAATTTCAAGTTATGGTTCAAATTCATGCATTTCTTAAAGCATAAAAAATTCATTCAAAGAATTTCTCACACACCACTGTGCTCCTTGATCCAATCCCGGGCGAAACTCACCCGCGAGTATACACCCGGATATTCCGGCTTGGCACAGCCGTAACCCCAACTGACCACGCCCACAAGCTCACCGGATTCACTGACCATGGGTCCGCCCGAATCACCTTGACAGGCATCCTTGCCACCCTCCAGAAAGCCAGCACAAATCATACGCTCAGTAACACCTCCATACTGCTTGTACTTTTCACTGCACAATTCCTGATTAACCAAAGGCACTTCCACCTGTCGCAGCCATTCCCGGGACTCCAGAAGATTCTGCGTGTTGCCCCAACCACTTACAAAGCAAGTCTCTCCATCCATGAACTTCATTTGGGCTTCCGGGAGCTTTATGGCCTTCTTGGTCTCATCGAACTTGATAGGATGAGCCAGCTGAAGCAGAGAGAAATCGTAATCCACATTGGTGAAGTTGAACTGAGCATGCTGGACGATCTTCTGGACACGCAGCAATTGGCCGCTGCGAGCAAACTCCGAGGTACCCAAGCGGATCTTCAATCGGTCTGCGGTTTTGCCACTAAAAGGAAAGACATTAAATTAAAATTAATTAATTAATTGGAAATCGATCATAAAGCTTGAAAGCCTAAAATATTCGCATTCATCGATATATTTACGGACCAATTTTGTCAAAAAATCAAATCTTAAAAAACTCATAACTAAACCAAAAATGCATTAATTTCAATTCGGAAACCTCTCCTATCCTAGTTTTTATTAGGGCAATAAAACTGCGTACTGAATTTAAAATGTTAAAAAATCAAGATTTTTGTCGATTTTTTTTAAATTTATCTCATGCAAAAATGGGAAAAAAATAAAATAAAAAATTTTCAACCGAACATAGTTAAATAGATTCAGCTGTTGATGCTGATCAAGAATATATATGATTTATGGGGTCGGAAATGACTCCTTCACTTAGTAACAAGCCTTTGACTAAAATTGTGGTTCCCTGCAAGTGTATAATAATTAGTACTAAGTGTTTCCTTCAACTTACTAAGTACAATGAGCCGCTGTCAATATCCACTCCTCGGAAATTATGGAACCGCCACAAATGTGACTTGACGTCTGCAGAGAGACCTGATGTGGTGCATCGGTGATATTAATGCGATGTCCTCCAACAATGCGACCATCCAGGCGGGGTGAATATATCCACTTTTTCTCTACTTTATCCTTTAGATCCTTTAGGGAGCGCTGTCTCATTATTGGCTGAGGAATCAAACAAACACCGCAAAAAACGAAAAGGCTGCACTGCAGCAATAGAAAGAGTCGAAAGCCCAACATGGTGTATACTATGCTGCTTAAAACCAAGAAAGACACTTTTATAGGTTTTCTTTCTTGGATTAGTGATAGTCTCTCAGTGGGTTTTAAGTGGCTACCCGCTGAGAAGCAACACTGTGAAGCTTATCTGGTACTTGACACAGTAGTCTTTAAAAAAGAGTTCATTCCGTTTTAGCCTTGTCAATTGGGGTTAATCAGAAGGCTAAAATAAACAGTATTCATTTGTTTATGCTGGAATAGAACCTTCAAATTATAAGGAGAAAAGATATGTTTTGTTGTTTTCGTTGTTAAAAAATTTGATCTTCTTTATTTTAATAGCCAACGATTTTGTGTGTTTATTAGGTTTCAAGTTTACGTACGAACCCGGTGATGCTCTTTCTGATTAGTCCACAACATAGATAAGATTTCTGCCCACATCGGTTAGCTTACCGCCCTGCTCCAGGCTCACTTTCTTGCTGTCTACGTCCAGGATAAAGTTACCCTCGCCCAGTACACTCTTGCCCGTTTTGTAATCCTCGAAGTTGGGTATCTTCCGGGGACCCAAGAGAGGGTCATCATAACGCCAAATCTTCAGGTTAGCCGCCGCATCCGATTTTAGACCAATGATCTTGGACAGCTTTTCGCGCAGCGACTTGACCGTATCGCCCTCGGAGATGACAGTGTTGACTTGGAAAAGAGCGGAACGCTCGATAGGATTCGTGAGCTCTACACTGACATTGGGAGCCACGGTGAAGTTAATAAAAGGCGAGCCGGGGCGTACTTCCTCACGAGTTTTCTCTGGGGCCGACGGATCATCCGTGTACTTGATTTCGAGGACATCGAGCTAAAAACAAAGGTTATTTTGAATATATTGTGATATTAAATTAAATAAGACTTACATCAAGTGTGTTCTTGAGGTAATCCACATTACTAATGAGCACCTGACGCTCATCGAACTCCAAATTGACAGCCATTGCAGTCACACCCTTGCCGGACTCCACCTTTTCACGTATCATCTGGGCGAAGGGCATAACCCGCTTCATGAACTTCTTTAGCTCCGCTTTTTGTTGCAGCGTGGCAGCAATGACTTTGTTATCCGGCAGGGCTTGGGTTTTGTTAAACAACTCTCTCATGGTGTCCAAGACACAGCACTGCCACGGAGGATAGGTCTTGGCCACCCAAATGAGGCCACGATTTGGTTTTCCCGCCGCCTGATCCACAGCCTTGGTCTTGCCCTTCAGTTGTTGCAAGTTCTTCAAGTTCAAGCGGAAGGAGTGAGCGGCTTCCATAAGGTATTCAGAGCACATGATGTCCACCTCATTGATGTCACCCACCTCGGGCCAACGGGCGTGAACGATGGACTCTTTGTTGCCCAACAAACCCCAGACATGATCCGCCATATGCGGACAAATGGGTGAGACCAGCAATGCCTGACGACGGATGAATTCCAGCACCAGATCCTCGTGCATACCCTGAGAGCCGCACAGCTCCCGGTACTTATCCCTGGCCAATTGCAGCTCGTAAAAGCCGCTTCTCAAGGCCTCCTTGAACAGCATCTTGCGGTAATTATCATCAGTTTGTTGGGTTTTCAAATTGATTTCACTGAGAAAGACTTTATCGTTGAAGGTCTTCTCCGCGCCCTTTCTCAGGCTACTCCTTGTCTCGAGCATCTCCTTGACCCACTCAATGAAAGTGTACAACCGCAGGATACCAGCATCCGCGGTGCTCTCCACGAAATTAGCATCCTCCACACTGTCGCCGGCATCCGCCAGGCAGAGCCTCATGCCATCCGCGGAGAACTTGTCCACAGCTTCGGTCAGCGTGAGGAAATTACCATCGGACTTGGACATCTTGGCGGAATTAAGCAACAAATGGCCATTCACTCGCATGCCCTTGGGCCACTTGGTCTCATCGTTTGGCCAAATGGCTGCGTGATTGTACAGGCAGAAGGTCAAGTGATTCTGTATGAGATCCTTGCCCGAAACACGGAGATCCATGGGATACCAGTACTCAAACTCGCGGCGCAACACTGCCAAATATTCCGCCTTGATGGCCGTCTTTTTGGGCAGGGGAGTTTCCTTAAAGAAGATATAATCCCAGATTTCTGACGTCATGTCCGAGGGTTTGATGCCAAATGGTCCTGGCTTCTCGCCGCGGAAGGTGCCGCCTTGCAGGAGATGCACCACCGTATAAAAGGCCATATAAATAGTGGAATCCGACAAAGATTCAATCAACCATTGCTCATCCCAGGGGAGTTTTGTGCCCAGACCGTAGGTTCGAGAGCAGGCATACTCGTGGAGCCAGTTCAGGATGGCCTCAAAGTTATTGCGCGCCTCCTCGTGGAAGGTTTCCATATCCTTGAGGATCTTGGTAGCCTGGGCTTGCCACACTGGCTCGCCGTAGTTAAGGTACCATTGGTTGCACAAGGCAACGACGCACTCATCAGCAGAACGCGACATGATGGTCTTCTCGGGTTCATAGTAGATGGCGGCCTCGTTGGCATCGACTAGTCTCTTTTGAAGATCCTTCTTCACATCTTGAATCTTGCGACCGGCGAAATCACCCACCAGCATGATGCCGTCATAGAAACCTTTAAAAGGAAAAATCATTTAGAAATTATCAAAAACCTGTTCTGAACCGTCGACTTACTCTTTAAGTAGCACAACTCCTTAGCCTCCGCAAGCTTCTCCTTATCGTTCTGCGATTGTATTTTCAGTGTCTCATAGGCATGAACCGCACTCAGCTTGCCTAGCGTAGGCACATCGATAATGGGTATGGGCTCAAATGGCAGTACCATCTCATCCTTCAGTCCATACTTCTGGCGGAAGGCCTCCTTCTTCTGCAGATCCACCAGAGCAGCATAATCATCGGGCGAATCGGAGGGCACTGAAGTCACCACACCTGTGCCCTTATCCTCCTTGATACTCAGCATAGGCAGCGTGTAAATGGTTTTGTGTGGCGTCAAAGGGGCAGATAGGGAAGTACCCAACAGATCCTGACCCGTAACTTCAGCCACCACTTGAATGTTTCCTTCTTCCGGAGTGAATCCCTGGTAAGACATGTTGCGAGCTGCACGTCGTGTGCTGATCCAAACTTCGTTGTTTTTGGTAGTTTGCCAGGCAATGTACTTGATGTCTGGATGGAGCCAGCAGTTAGTCTGACCGTACATTGTCTCCGGACGCAGGGTGGCGGCCACCAAGTAAATAGGCTGTTTAATGGAGCTCAAAGCCTTGGGCTTCTCTAGAACCTTCATCTTAATAAGCGTGTACTCCTGAGGACCCACACCCTCGCCCGTGCTGCGATCATGGTCCATGCAGGGCTGTCCATCCTTTGGCGAATAGATGGTATACCTCTTGCCGTACATGATCTTGCCGCGCTCCTTTAGGTGATTGAACTGCCAGCGGACAAATGAATCAAAGTAGGGATTGGCATCCGTGGTGATGAAAGTACGCCGCCAATCGATGTGCACGCCAATCCGCTTAAGATCCTGCACCGCCAGCGGTGGGAAGTAGTTCAACCAATGCTCGGCATTGGCGAAATCCTTGATCTCCTCATCCTTGAGCCCCAAACTCTGCATGATCTGCCATTGGTATTTGGCTGTGCCTGTTTTGGCCACCGCTTTGCTCTTCTTACCCTTGGACTTGTCCTTTGGCACCTCTGACTTCGTTTCCACGGGAGCCGGAGCCTCATCTGCAATCTCTGGGAACTTTGGCGGATACCCAAACTGTTCCAGTTCGCGGGTTAGCTTGTCAGCGCAGGCTTTTATGGGCATTCCGGTGCAATGGAAGCCAAAGGGCCACAGGACCCGGCGTCCCTTCAAGCGATGATATCGCACCGAGTACTCCGCCTTTGACAGCGAGAAAGTGTGGCCCAAATGGAGCCTGCCATTCATATAGGGAAATGGAAAAGTGACGAAGAACTTCTCTGATTGGCGCTTCTTTGGAGCCGTTGGGGCATCCGACTCGTGAACACGCTCTTTCTCCCATCGCTCCTGCACCTCACGCTCGATCTTCTGGAGGTACTCCACCTTAAAGGTGCCCTTTCGCTCGGTTGTGGCCTGTTTTGTGTTCATAAAGTAAACAAATTAGCATATTTTGTGCATTGGAATTTTTAGAGCGTACTGGAAATGCAGAGGGAAGTTGCATCAGCTGCCGGTATGTGTTCGTGGCACTTTTGATGAGCCATCAATCTCGCCGGGAATTGTTTCGCCGACAAGTACTCACCATTGTTAATGCGTTGAGGGACCGTGCAATTGTTTAAAACAATTGTTTTATTCAGTTCGCAGCACTTAACAAAAAATTAATTTGCAGTGCAACGTGTTTACCTCTGCCAGTGTGGCCGTAACTAAAAAGATAATATGGCCCATACATGTTTATCCGATAGTTTGTTAGTTAAACTTTTTGTGTGAATGGTTATTATTTTAAAATATTAATAAATTTATTATTTGATGTGTTGATAAAATTGGAAGTTTATTTAAGTTGATTGTATACATTTCGCCTAATCAAAAGTCGTAGTACCTCAGTTTCACTTTGATTTTTTTTGCTGGCCGTATGGTTTTCGGGAGTAATAGAACTACGGCCACACTTTCTCTACTTTAACCTAGATTTTTTTTCATTAATTAGAGTGACAAACCTTTAGGACAAAATTTAGTTAAATTGTAACTTAAGTTAAGCGCCCCGAGCACCGACCAAGATGCGACCAGTATACGCATTTCTGCTGCTGGCGCTTCTGTGCTTCGCCAGCACCAGATCCGAGAACGATTTCGAGGAAGATTCCAACGATGATTTTGCCGAGTTCGATGATGAATTCGATGGCAGCTTTTACACGGAGCAGCCGGTGTCCAAGAGTGCTGAAGCATCTGCTGGCGGCGGAGTAGGAGCTGGCGCCAGCCACGAAGAGTCCCGGGAAAGGGGCCCACAGGAGCCACGTAAGCCAGCACAAAAGACAACGGCGGAAAGCGACGAGGAGGAGGATGGACTAGTGGAGGATGACGATGAGTTTGAGCACTTCCAGGTGAGCAGGGTTACATGGGTTACCTGAGGAGGGTTTAAGGGGTGGGAAGCTAAGCAGGTGATAGTTAGTTATTTACAATGAGAATTGTACATTTAGAGAAAAATAGCCTTATTGGTTACTGGTCTTATAGGATTACATTATTAGTTAATTAAAATTGATTAATCTTCATTAATTATGCATAAGAATGTGAAGAGAAGGTTGCAATACTTTCACCGTTCGAGGGAAAAACCAGCTAAGAGCTAATGTTTTAGATATTCTTTATAAACTAGATTTTTTTTTAGAACTTCAGGGTTTTTGTAGGTCTGTAAGAAAGATTATCATTATTATGTAACTAAGATAAGGATTGGAGTTAAAAAAAGTGCGTAGACATTTGTCCCCAAGACTCAAAAACTTTTTTTTTTAATTTTTAAATATATTAAAGGGAATCTATTTTGTAATAGTTCTTTGAACAAAAACTATTTTTCTAGGGTCCAAGGTTTTTTGTTGAACAACTATAGATCAAAGCTTAATTACAATAAATTTAAGAGGAAAAATAGAGTTGAAAAGTACTTATTTTTAATAATATACTGTTTTCAGGACGAGGAAGAGTTTGAGGGCTATGATGGCGGCGACGCCAAGGATCCTCCCATAGATCAGAAAGCTGAACCCAAACTCAACATCCCCAACATCCCCCTGCATTTCCGCACCCACTGGGACTCCTATTGGATGGAAATGCTAATGGTGGCTGGGCTCTTGGCCTACTTTGCCAACTTCTTTGCGGGAAAAACCAAGAACGCTCGCTTGGCTCAGCTTTGGTTCAGTACCCATAGAGCTCTCCTTGACGAGAACTTTGCATTGGTCGGCGATGATGGCAAGCCCGAGAATGAGAATCCTGGTTTGATCAAGGAGAGTGAGAGTCTCTATACGCTGTGGTGCTCCGGCAGGACCTGCTGCGAGGGCATGCTGGTCGAATTGAAGATGATCAAGCGACAGGATCTGGTGTCCTTGGTGGCGGGACTGATGCGACCGCAATTGGATCAGGCTCATATCAAAATTGAACTAACGCGTGGCGTAATGGATGCATTCGTATTTGCTGTGGGAAGCAAGAAGACCATTACCAAGGTGTTTAAGGAGTATACAGACTTGGTAAATATGTTCTTATTTACTTATTTCTATCAAATACATAATAACTTTCCCCTTTAGAGCAAATTCTGTAGTCTAGTCGGAAAGCCCGAGGATCGTTACAATGTCCCCAGTGGCTTTGGCGTCCTTTCCGAGGTCCCGAGGCCACCTCGGCCATTTTAGAATCACGTGTTATCACTGCACTTAACAAGTACCAAAGCTATATCGATTACCTGCACATCTCGGACCAATTCAGTGGACCCATCCAGCAGGAGGAGAGCTCGAGCACGCTCAAACAGCCGGAGACCAAGGCGGTGCTCCTGGCCGGCTTCAATCTGCCCAAACATGCCGAAATGGAGACCATTAAACCGTTGTTATTGTTGATCTTTTATTTGATGGAACGTCTGAAGACTTATCGCATGTCCAAGGAGGTAATTTCATAATTATTTTCTTTATTAAACTTAAAAATCTTACTAATCAAAAATACATTTCAGGGCAAAGCCAAATCCGATAAAAACCGTGCTCGCGTCGAGGAGGAGTTCTTGAAGAGCACCCATGCCGCCCGTGCGGAGGCTGCTGCCCAGCGTCGCGAGGATAAGCGCAAGCAGGAGAAGGAGCGTATCCTAGCCGATGAGGATCCGGAAAAGCAGCGTCGCTGGGAGCTCAAAGAGCAGAAGCGTCAGGCCAAAAAGAATGCGCCCAAAATGAAGAGACTGGCTGTCAAATCGCTGTAGATATCTATTTATAGTGTGCCATGCGCCGCCAATATGCGCTCCTCCTTAACAAAACGACCATTTGTAGTTTGTTCCTCTCAAATTTGCCAGAAAAATAAAGCAATATCTATATTGTTTCCTATGGAGCGCCAAAAACAAAGAATTTGATTGTAAGTATTGTATTAATGTGATAAGGAAATAAGTTCGATAAGTAGTTGCCTTTCGTCGAAAGTATTTCTGGCTCAATTTGGAATGGTAGCTCTCGCACAATCAGAGTAACAATATAAATTGAACAAAGCTAATGGTAGATCACACGCGATTCCCATTTATGTATATATTTTTATTAGCTCGTAACTGAGATTTGGGTGGACAAACAAATTTTGTATAATAATAACTTTAGTTGGTGGGGCATTGTTAGAATAAGGCTTAAAACACAAGAATCTAACATCATCTCACACAGGCGTCCCCACCTAGCACTTGACGGGGAAACAGTTCTCGTTCGACACATATGCGATGTGATTGCGCAAGGTCTTAATCTGCTTCTGGGCCGCATCGAAGCTGTAGGACAAGGTGTTCAATTGTCCCTGCATTTCCCGGATCACAGACTCTCGATCGTTCACAGAGAGGGATGCTGTGGCTCGGCATTGGGCCAACTCCTTTTCCAAGCGATTGATCTGTTGCTGCTGCTGGGACTTGATCAGCTCGGCTCGTTCCTTGGTGCCGGCTATAATCTTTGCAGACTCTGTACGCATTGTGTCCAAGTCATCCTGGGTGGACTTCAGTTGCTCGCAGAAGAGATCGCGCTGTCGAAGGAGCTCCTCTAGTTCGTTGCGGGCCTGACTGAGCTCCATTTGACACTGGGCCAACTGGGGCCTCACATCGACGCTAGTGGGCTGCTCCAGCTGGGTCTTGCAGGACTTCAGTTCCTTGCAGACCACCACCAGCTTGCCCTGCATTTCATCCTTTTCCTTGCACACCTGTGCGAGCTTCAGCTGTTCGTTTTCGAGAAGTTTGGGGAAGTGGAGGAGCTCATTGAGCTTCTCTTGGAACTTGGCACGAATCTCCTTGACCTCAGTGTTGATCTGCTGTTCGATACGCTTGTTGTTCATATTCAGTTTCTCCAGAGAGACGCACTGCTCCTCGACCTTTTGCTGGGCCAGTAGGTACTTGTTCCGGTAATCCTCCAACTGCTGGGATTGCTCCTTCATAATGCACTTAAATTCCAGCTGCTCCTCCTTCAGTTCGTTGACACGAGCTCGGAGCAGATTAAGTTCCGCGGCGTCAGCATCGGCATCGGCACCTTTGGCGGGGCTGGGACCACAGATGCCCTTCATCCTGAAGGAAATAACTCTTAACTCTTATCTTTCACCAATAAGCCAACGATACCTACCTCTTTTGGAGCTCCTTCATCTGGCAGTCCTTGCGCTGGAACTCGGTCAGCAGCCTGGTGTAGTTTTCCTTCATCTTCTCGTACTTGTCAGCCTTGGTGTTACGCTTGCCCCCGCATATGACTAAAGGATCGGGATCCTCGGGACACGGTGTTCGCGGGGCAGCCTTCGCGCAGTTATCCTCCTGCTCATCTTCGTCGTCGTCAGGGTCCATGCAGGATTCCGCCTGTCCTTCGCGATTGCCCACCTCCTGAAGCAGCTTCTTCACCGAGTTCTGCATGCTCTGGATACGACGTTTTAGCTTCTCCATGGAGTCGCTTTTGCCAGAAGGCGGGCAAGGAGGAGACTGAGTGGGCCGGGACTTGCGACGCGCTTGAGGACACGGCGGACAGGGAGGAAAACCACCGCTGCTGCTGCTACTGCTCTCCGGGCAGGGCTTGGGTGGAGAAGACCGAGGACTGCAGACAGGCTGCGGCTTTTTGCAGCTCATGATGGCGGCCGCAATCTCCTCGATCATCTTCTTGTCCTCCGGACAGGCGCCCTTCATCTTCTGCATAGCCTTCTGCAGGCAACACACCAGTTTGTCATCCTGTCCAGCATTGTCCCGCTGACCTCCGCCTCCAGAGCTGGAGCTGTTCTCCTCGTTGCATGGGTCACCACTGCCACTGGCATCCGGGGCACCGACCCCAATGCCGCACATGTACGGCGAGAGCTTGTCCTCGTCCACGGTGGTAGTCATGGGCAGCTCCCTGTAGTGACGATGTGAGCCAAAGTTCTGCAGCTCGATGGCTCGGTTCATCATGACGTGAAGCTTGATGTTCTCCTGCTCCATGCATATCCTCAGGCGCTTGATCTCGCGCAGCTCGTTCCGCGTCTTGCAGGGCTTGGCGCACATGTCCATAATGTTGCTCTTAATGTCCTGGATAATCTTATTCTGGCAGTCGATCTCTTTGATCAGCGCCAGGTACTCCATGTACATGCGCTTTTGCTCGGGATCATCGGAGGATTCGCCCAGCATGGAGAACAAGTCCTTCTCCTGTGCCTCCTCTATCATCTCGTGCTCACCCATGAAGTTCCGTTCCTCATCCTCATACTCGCCCTCATCCGTGTATTCCGTATCCGCCATCGCGATTTATTCGATTTGTTTCAGTTACCAAAACGCGAATAGAAGTTATTCTCTATATCTTACTAGCTCAATTTACACTTTTTGAAGAAACAATTTTCTTTTATTTTGACTAACGATTTTGTATATTTTTTTTTTAATTTCTTTTTGCTTCTATTCTGTTAAAAAAAAAGTTCCGAAAATAAGTAGATCTTTGTTACGAATAAAATGAAACTGAATGAAGCCGAGGAGCTGAAATGTTCTCTAGCCTGACGCCCGTTGAGAGCGATTTCACATTGCTTACTAAGATTCTGGGGGGATTTGTAAAAATGTAAGACCCAAGGGCACTATGTTTGGGGGTAAACCTTATCAATGTGAGAGGTACCTCGGCTGGTTTTAAGATATTTCTTAAGCCCAATACCCAAGGGCAGAAGGAAACCGATTCGACCCCATCAATTTACACTGAAAAAAGTAACATAAGGAACAAAGTTTTTGCTAATTAATTTGATACTTTTCAATATTACATTTATTTTTAATAAATTAAAATAAAATAATACATTATAGTGTTTTAATTCTCATCATCAGGCCCTTCGATTTAGGCCTCTTTATTTGAATACAATTCTTTTAATTTTAGTTGCAATCTTTTTGTTAATATAATTATCCTTCAGCAGGCAATTATTTATAGGGTCTGTTGCACTCTTACCCCAAGAAATCGGGACTTTACACACAATCCGTATTTAGAATTTTTAATGCACTGTTTCGCCCTTCCTCCCAGTAGGCGTTAGACCAAGATTCTGAACTAATTATTTTCGTATTCGTAGAAATATTATTTCTTTTTTTTTGGCTAACAAATGGTTCACGTCATAAAAAAATTCTCTGTTGGTCACAAAACATCGCAAAAAATTCACCAAGTGCAATATATAAACACAATAAGCCAAATTTTTGTATAGGCCAAGGTCGCCAATAGCCACTAGACAACGCACACTGGGGTTTTGACCGAGGAAGCAGCCGAGTCGGGCTTGCCAATTTTGAAAGAAGACCCTACGAAAATGGTCATGGAAAAGGATCAACTTGACCAGAAGTCCAGCTATGACAGTCTCGCCCGGAGGAGCTCGAGCATCCAAGATGTTATAAGTCCCACCAACAGCGACATGACCTTCATGGAGCACAGCACACCCAGTGTCCTGCAAGTGCCACCGAAGACTGGCAAGAAGGAGCGGGAGCGGGATCGGGATCGGAATCGGAATCGGGATCTAGATCTGAGCGATGGAGAATCATACCAGGAAGAGGCCAGCTCTGAAGCCATTGGCAGCAAGCTCAAAGAGGAGCTGTCCAAGTACAAGCAGGAGCTCAAGGAGTACAACGATACCACCAAGGAGCTGGAGGAGAAGTACATGAAGATCAACTACGAGCTGAACGAGATGCAACAGAAGCACGATAAGTTTGTGGAGGGCAGGAGAAAGCATCCCACTACCGAGGTGGAGATGGAGAGCGAATTAGATCCCGAGGATCCCTTCTACAACTCGGCCAGCAGTGCAACTTCTCAGATGACAATCCGACGTAAGAGTCCCGAGGTGATGCAGAGCAACACCAGCTTTATGACCGTTCTATCGGCACAGAGCTCCTACGATCAACTCGCCCGGAAAAAGAAGTACTCGTCGTCGAGCAGAAGCTCTCAGCCCCAGTCCCAGCAGGATCGCCGTACGCCGAAGACTAGCAAAGTCTATGATAGTCGGATTGTGGAAACTCTGGCCAATCGGCAGGTGAAGCGGCGAAAGAGATCCCTGGAGCAGCAGAAGGAGGATATGGAGCCCTCTGGCTTCAAGGAAATGTATCATGTGCTCAATGATGTGATCAATATGCCACAGGTAAGATGCTTTACTTGGAATATTTTATGTATATATAAATATTGTTAATTCCGTCTTCCTGCAGGATCGCAAATACACCCACGAAAGGGATCGAGATGCCGGCAATCTGGGCCAACTCCTGACCACCATCCAAAGCCTGAAGAGCGAGCAGGTGCAGTTCCGTTCGCTCATCCAGCAGCAGCACGAGAGGATCGCAGACTACCACACGCGCTGTGTAAAGGCCCAGGAGATCATGAACACCCAAAAGCACGAGATCGACAAGCTCAACGCGAACAACAAGCAGCTGGAGTCAAGCATCTACCACGACATCGACAGTCTCCGGTGCAAGATCGACACCAAGCTGAAGAGCGTTTCCCATTTGCCCAAGATGATGCGGGAGGAGCACACCAAGTACGAGAAGGTAATGCGAGAGAACTGTCTACTGGCGGATAAGCTACATGTCCTCCAACAGGAGGCCATGCAACTGAAGGTCAAGATCGATGAGCTCGGGCGCCGCAAGCAGGCCGCCGTGAACAGGCTAAAGGCAGCCGAAAGGGATCTCAAGATCTTCAAGAACTACAATTCATCTTTAAAGTCTGAAAAGACTCGATTATCACGGGAATTGTCAAGCATGAAGGATCAGCTGGAGCAGCTCCAGGTCAGCAGCAAGCGACAGCTCTCTCGCCATAGGGAGCAGAGCGAAAAGCAGCGGAGGGATCTGCAAAAGAGGATCTACGACCTGGAGCTGAAGCTTGGCAGAAGTCAGAACTCCACGTCGAGTCTGATCCAGGAGCGGGACAGTCTGATAGCCGAGCTCCAGACGCAACTCCACACGCTGGTCCACAACTTCGAGGTGTCACAGAAGCACATCAGGGTCCTGCGACGACACATTTATTCCATGACGAATCCAAACGGTGGCGTCGGCATCAATTCCAGCGGTGCCGCCGGCATTGGGAACGGCTCCCAGCGACCTAGTTTGATGCGGTTAAATCAGGCATGCAGTAACACAATGACCGGACGACTCGGTAACCCTCGAATGCTGAAGGAAAAGATATAGGTTTTGCGCCTGCATTAGTTCCCTCAGTGTGGACTCCGGACAACTTTATGATATGGTTTGTCAGCATTGGAACCATTTCATCAGGTTGCCTGGACTCTCTTTTTCTAAGGTGTTACCGAGACAAAGATTCTTTCACTTTCTGATGATCCTATAAATATTTTATTAATTTTTTACAATATGTTTTTCATTGGGAGAGGGCTTGATTGTCTCAATTATTGTGTGAACTTTCTAAATATTTAAAAAAAAAATAAAATTTTAAATGTCTGCCATTAGGGTCAGTATTAACTGGTGAAACCCTTTTTGCATCAGTTTTCATACACCTTGCCATATATGAACATATTTTATAACCAATATATTGCCTGTGAAATATTAACATGTTTTAATTTCATTTTTGGTCGAATTGTACCTGCTCCCAATGATGATCTCATTCCCAGCCTCTTAAGTACCTGACCAATAATTGGCGTTCCAAAAAGTGCAATGTAAACAAAGTTTTCCAAAGAAATCTTTACAGCCAGCTGATTCATGCAGTATATCCCCTCGATCGCATTTACATACATATGTATATATAAATATATAAACAATTTCCACAGCCACTTTGGTGGAGCATGGATTTTCTGTGCGAAAAGTGTTTGGAATTGGAATGAGTTCTTATGGAGCAGAAGGTTAAGGGGGAAGAAATCTCAGGCCGATGACAGCTGAGAAAATGAAATAAAGAATTGAAGCAAATAGGAAGCATTTATTTGGAGGAAAAAGAGTGAGAGAGAGACCACTGAGAACGCCAGGCGGTCTAAATATATAACAAAGATTCTCTCAGAAATAATTTTTAATATAAAAACAACTAGAAAAGCTAAGGTTTTAAAGTTTTTGAGACTACAAAGATACCACTTGCTGAATATTATTATTATATTATATTACCCCATTACTAAATTTTAATTTAAAGTAATAAAGTAATTTAAATTTATGATATCTACAAACTCGTACTTGAAATTAAAAGCCTAACTTAATCATAAACTATTAAAAAATATACCCTTACAGAGTATTATGAAATTACAGTCAGAAGCTTAAAACAGAGCGAATGAATCATTTCCGAATCGGTTAAGCTATGCCTGGCAAAAAACTATTTTTTTCAAAATTTTAAAAAATTTATAAAAATTTAAAATTGTCAAAAATTGACCACAAAATTGATGTCTTTAAAATCTTAAATTGAGTATACAGATTTGTTAATCTAATAAAAACTAACTCAGGACAGCTTCCCAAAGTGAAATTAATACTGTTTTGGCTTAGTTATGAGTTATTTAAACTTTGATTTCTAGTACAAATTGTCATATAAATTTATAGATAAATATCGATCAATGAATGGTATTATAGTTTCAGTCAGAAGCTTAAAACACAGTGAAGGAATCATTTCCGACCCCATAAATCATATATATTCTTATTAATCAGCATCAAAAGCCGAATCGATTACGCTATGTCTTGCAAAATTTTTTTTTTTCAAAATGTTGAAAATTTTATAAGGGTTTAAAATTGTCTAAAATTTATAAAAAATGTCATTTTTTTAATTTTAAATGGAGTAGGCAGAATTATTAACCCAATAAAAACTAGCACAGGAATGGTTTCCGAATTAAAATTAATGCATTTTTGGCTTAGTTATTGTATGTTTAAGATTCACTTTTCTCAACTAATATCGTATAAAATTTTAGTTAAATATTTAAATTTGAAGGAATTCTATTTGACTCAGAAGCTTAAAACACAGTGAAGGAATCATTTCTGACCCCATAAATGATATATATTCTTGATCAGCATCAAAAGCCGAGAATTTTTTTTTTTTTTCAAAATTTGAAAATGTTATAATAGGTTACATCTTTAAAATTGCTAAAAATTGACAAAAAAAATTAAAAATTATTTCATTTTAAACCGAGCATGCAGATTTATTAGCCTAATAAAAATGAACATAGAAACGTTTTCAGAATAACAATTAATGCTTTTTGGGCTTAGTTATGATATTTAAAAAACTTTGATTTACAAAAAAAATCGGTTTCACATTCAAACTTATTTCTATTCATATAAATTTTCTAAAATTCAAACCTCTACGAGCCCATCATACCCTTCCCTTCATCTTGAACAAGGGGCATCTATATTATCCGAGACGAAGGCATAGCCAGCGGGGCGCAGCATATTGAAATGAAAGCCAAAGGTGCGCTCCGCCGATGGTTTTCCACTTTTCAGCGTTCGGTGTTCGGTGTTCAGTGCTCAGATTTTTCCAATGTGAGGGTCGCCTCTCAGTTTGATTTTCGCACGCGACGCGAGCAAGCGGATGAAAGCGGCTCTCCTATAGATTAGTGAAAATTCGCGGTGACACGCTCCAATGACCCGTTCGCCGCAGATGACGCAGTGCGTCTTCCTCGTTCTCGTTTTGCCACTGATTTTGTCACACGTGCTGGGGGCTGACGCTGATGATGATGACTTAGTGTCTTCCGGCAATGTGACGACTACATCATCATCTGCTCTAGTTACTCCTTTTTGCGTCATCCGGGCGACGCTCTATGTTTCGCCTTCTCTTTCCCGGAGTAGTGGGGACTTTGGCCTTCCACTGGACATAGATTGCAGTGGAAACTTTAGCGAGGAGCTGAGCCCATTTGATTTGGGTGCTCAGAGAGTAGCAGGAAAGCGGCATGTACTCCTCGATGGATCGCAAACACCGCCTCTGGGTATAGCCAGTTATGGATTGGAGTATCTGGATAATTGCGTAGACCTGGAGAGCCTTGAGATCCAAAGATTTGTGGGTGATGAAACACTGAAACTAAGCTGTGGGGGAGCTCAGCTGCCTAATCTCACAGCGGTTACCTTTAAGAATAATGAATTAGGAGCGTTAAGAGCTGAGACCTTTCAGGATTTGCCCCAACTGAAACGACTTGAACTACAGGACAACTCTTTGAAATACTTGGAGATCCTGAAAGGAGGCGATGCTCTACGGGAGCTTTTCATTCAAGATGAAAGGGATTTAGTGCTTAAAGATAATGACTTCATTCGGCAGCAGTCCGAGTTGGAAAAATTGCACTTAAAGAACATGAAAAATATAGAAGATCAATTCTTTAACTTTCTGCCCGAAAATCTAACCGAGCTTCTAATAGAAGACTCCCCTATCCAACCAGGAGACTTGCTGCTAAGCCAGGGTATATCCCACCTCATCAATGTCAGCATCACCAACTGCCAGCTGAGGAGTTTCTCCCTGGAACCCCCACGAAATCTAGAGATTACTCACCTTAACCTGAGCAACAATGCCTTGAGGTTCTTGAGATTAACCTATCTGAATGGCCCAAGCACTCTGATTAGTTTGGACTTGAGCAAGAATCAGTTAAAGCATCTGGACATAGAGTGGTTCTCAAGGATGACCAGTCTTGAGAAGATTTTCCTGCAAGAGAATCAGTTTCAGTCCCTATCGCTGCTTCACTTACTTACCAGGATTGCACCTGCGACTCTCTGCCACCTGGACTTAAGGTCCAACGAACTGATGAGTCTCAGGGATGGAGAGAGAACCATTGCTGCGTATTGGAAGCCACAACTGCGACTTCTGATCGATGGAAACCCTTGGAGCTGTCAGTGGTTATTGAATTTTTCGCACACTCAACCGCAGCTCTTCCGCCTTTTTCAATATTCCAAATACATTTCCCACATCAATGTGAATGGCCTGAGTTGCCGGCCACAGGAAGCGCCCACGCAGCAGCCTGTCAAGCTGCAGAGGATCATGCAGGTGAGGATCAATGGATCGGAGGCGTCCGGAGCTCCAGTTCCTGTGATACATCCGCCCGGGAATGTGACCAGCTTCACGGTGCTGTATGGCAATCCCGTGGAACTGCATCGAAGTCAGCGACAGGGAGCCTTGATAATCGTCTTCATGCTGCCATTGGGCATAGCCTTGCTCTTCCTTCTCCTGTACCTGTACCTCCACTGCGAGCGGCTTTTCCACCTTTCCTACTATGCCTCGGGCTTGCCCTGCTTCGGTGGTGGGGAAAAGACCACCTCCCGGTTTGTGGACCATGTAGATATTGTTAGGTATCCCATAGGCAATGGCTCCTCTCCAGTGGACCTCGAAGCGGATCCTCTGCCCGATGGCTATGAGACGCCTGTGAGCGGGGCTGCCTCCATCTGCAATTGCGCGGGTAATCATAGGGAGTCCGCCTGTTCCAGGACCCACCATGTCACCTACGAATCCCTGCCAGCAGAGCTGCCTTATCAACTCTATGCGGAGATCAAGGAGGATCAAGCGGAGGAGGAAACCGACGAGATGCTGGCAGCCAGGCCAACAGCTCCCATATACGATCATTTGTCCTTTGTCGAGGAAGTGCTGCCGAAGCAAGAGCAGGAGACAAGGGAGATTTCTTAGGTCTTTGTTATAAAATATACACTGTGCCATATTTAACACTGTTAAAATAAACTGTGAAGTTAGAAATTAAAGTTATGTTATAGAAAGTTGAAAATCTTAGTATTTTGAACGAGAAATATTTGTTATCGGAAAAAACTCTTTTAAAAAAAGTTCAAAGTGGAAAAGAAAAGCCTAAGATCGACGAAACGCGAGATTAAGACAAATACCAAAGCCACAAAGATATAGAAAATGTAGTGGAAAAACCTTGTAGTGTCTTAATCAACAACCGACAACCCTTTAAAAAATAAAACAAATCGAAAATCAAATTATTGATATTATATTATCTATATTTGAATCCTTTTACACTCACATTTAGTAGTCTAATTAATTGATTAGTGGTCCAAAATTTCAGAAGTTCTCGTGATCATTTCATTGTTGGTTTCCGCGAGGACACAACAATGCGACGTACGACTGGTCTTCGAATTGTGGGCTTAATATCCTTGACATCCTCCGATTCCGAAGGCTTCTCATTCTCCTTGGCAGCATGCTCAACTGGACTCAAATTGTGAATGGTGGGATCATTCTCGCTGAATTTGACCACCTTGTGGGAGTCCTCAGCAAAAATATCCCTTTTCTTGGCCAAAATGGAGCGTACATTATCATTTGTGGAATCTTTGATAACAGGAATTCGTACTGGTGTACCCTTACGCTGAGGTTTATGAGGCGCGGAGCTATCAATGATTTCTATGCACCCTATGTCTGTCTTTGAGGGTGTGCCGGCACTTGATGGTTCCTCTTCATCATCGCTTTCCGTATTACTATTTGCAAAATGTAATTTTTTTACAGGAGTTCCCTTGCGTTGAGGCTTAGCAGGCTGTTCTATTTGGCCGAGCAATTCATTGTTAGACTTGACTTTCAGGGCGCCCAAGCAGTTTTTAACTGGTGTGCCTTTCTTTAAGGGTTTGGGAAGGGTTTCCGTAGCCATTTCCATTTCTAACTCATTCTGGTTTAGATCTTTTAGAGGCTGAGGTGATTCCTCTTCCTCTTTGATTTTTAAAGAGTTTAGAAGACCCCTGACAGGTGTGCCTTTCATTTGCGGTTTGGGTATTGGTACCTGAGTTATCTCTTCCTTAACCAATAGTGCTTCGTTGTTGGTATTATCCTGGTGTGCCTCTTGTTTAATTGTTAGGGTTTCTTCTTTTGGTATATTTTCCTGTTCTTTTTCTTCCATTGCTGAAACTTCTTCCCTTTTAATTTTGAAACCCATTTTGGTCTTAACAGCATTAAGTTTTTCCAAGGGATTGAAGCCTGGCTCCATTTTAATTTCCTTAGGGCTTCCTTTAACCAAAAATGGCTCCTCTTCTGGACCCATTTTCATTGGTGTATCGAGTATTATTATTTCGTTTTGTGCAGGCATTTCAAGGGGAGTAGCAGGAGCCAAGGGAGTTGCAATTCGAGGCAGCGCAGCCTTAAGTTCCTCCTCCTGTATATTAAACTCCATGGCCTGCATGGGCTTAAAGCCAATCTTGTGCTCCGTCAGCAAATTCTCGCGATCTATGAGCACGCAGCGGGATTTCAGGGACTCAAAGCGCCAACTGTTAAGGAGGAGTGCAAGATATAAGTATTATACAAAAGAATATTAAAAGATCTTAAACAATTATCATAAAGATTCCTATTACCGTGCCATTTCCTGCTGCACTGACCGCATCTGATCTTCCAGTCCGGCCTTTTGGATACGCAAACTGTGAACCTGCGTCTTCAGCTCATGTGTTTCGCGTCTAAATTTTTTGGAAGGAGATGGATGAGGAGGATGAGGGAGGAGTTACCTTTTAACTGGTCAGCAACAACAGGCCATAGCTGGCGAGCCGGGCCAGGGCGCTGTCGATGCATTTTGGCAACTCATACTTGCAGAAATCCAACATCGAATCCAGCCAGTTGACCGCCTTTTCTTTGGCCATATCACGCAGACGCTCCTGAGAGAGATTTAGCTGCTTTTCCAGACTATCGTTGGCGGCCATTAAATAACGAATGCGTTCGTTCAACTTGCCTGATAAGGTAAGAAGCGTTAAAATCATATAGTAGGAAATAAGTAATCCTAATTACTTCTATATGTCTTGTCTGCACTGCAAAAAATCGTGCTGCATGCCTGGAGCTCTGTATGCATGGCCACATTCTCTCGCTTCAAGCGTCTTATCTCAAACTGGCTATCCGCGTAGGTCTTCTTCATGTCCAAATAGCTCTTTTTCTGGGCAGCCAGCAGCTGCTTCATGGCCTGTCTTTGGTCATCCACCTCGGCGAACAGAGAATTGCCCTTGCGATCTAGAAATATGAGAGTTAAATAAACGTTTTCAAATGTATAAGCTTCCTGTACATACCATTATTCTCAGGAGCCGTGGTAAGCAAGGCTATCTTGGCATTGGCATCCACCAGCTGCTCCTGACAGCTTTCTAGCAGCTGGAGCTTCTCCTCCAACTCATCGCGCTTGCAGGTGAGATTCTGTTCCAGGCAACTCACGCGATCTGCCAGGCATTCAAGAGTTTTCTGATGGGAAATTTAAACAATATTAATCAATTTTAATATATAAGTAAAGGAAAAACCATAATTACATCCTTTTCGGCCACCGAAAGCGTTATTTTTACACTGTTCTCCTCGTAATCCGCCAATTTCTGCATCAGATCGCAGTTCTCCAGCTCCAAGGCATTCAGACGCGCCGCACACTCCTCATGAAGATCCCGGGAACCCAAGCTGGCTCGCTCCGACAGCTCCCTTTCCTTAGCCTCCAGTTGCTTTTTCAAATCCTTTGCCTCCTCCGCCTTCTGGTCGTAGTCCTGCTGCAGAGACTCCTGCTCTTCTTGGAGATTACGATACTTGCGCCGCAAATCCTCAAGCTCCAGCGAATCTCCGCTAGAGTTGGACTGCTGCGGCTGAGAGCTAAGTTGTTCCAATTCCTGTGTCAGATAAGCTTCCGCAGCCAGAGCTGTGTCCAGATTGCGCTTGAGCTCATAGATCCTTTGGGCATCCTGGTCGCTTTGCGACTTCAGCTGCTGATGGCGGTGGTGGAGCAGCTTGTATTCTTCCACAATATCGTCCACAGTGAGGGCGTTCAGGTCCAGGTTGTTGTACATATTGCACGCGTGTGGGTTTAGCCCAAAAACGTAGAATTGTCTCGCTACAAATTGTTTATTATTTATATTTTCAAAAGTGACGCTAGAGCTGGAAAGAAATCGACAACTCGATCTACATGTTATCGATACACGATATATTTTTACTGTACTCGCATTGACAATGCATTAGTCGCAATAAACGATAGATCTACATAAAATATACCAGATACCGATAACAACATACTGCCACACTGCGTCAAAGTATTTTCAGACCACTCGCCGAACGGTATCACTAATAAGTCATCAAGCGGGTGTGGATCGGTTTTGTGTTGTTTAATTTTCTTCGAATATTTCTGTTGCCGAGTTAGTTTTATTTACCATTTATTTGTTCCAAACAATGCGCGTGGCCTGGTGAACAGCGTGAAAGGATTGCATTTGAGATAGCGAGGTAAGTGAGCTGCCGCAGGAGCTGGCGACCCGCCCAAAAAGTTGTGTGTTTGGTGGTGTCTCAGAAATGCCCAAGCTCTGCTTACGCGCCGTGTTATTGTTGCTGTTGGCACATGGGCGTTGACCGAAAATTTAACAAGTGCTCCCAAAAAAAAGTTTGTTTTAACTATTTACTGTTCAGTGTTGGGATAGATGGCCTAAAGTTGGGAGAAAAGCGGCCAAGTCCTTGCAAAACCCTTTGACGCTTAAAGTACATGGAAATGGCAGGAAGAGGGAAAAGAGTGTTTGAAGCCACCTGCTGCCCAATTGGATTCCGGCGTCCTATCCTTCTTTTTCGTTACTTTCCGACTCAAATTTCAGCAGCAGTTGCTCTTGTTCGCGCCCCGAATTGTCCTTTCTGCCATTTCAATTGCACTCTTGCCCTCTCGCAACTTATTTTCGAATGGGTCTTCGTCTTCTCGGCTAATTAATGCCCACTTTACATGCCCGTGTCCGTCGTGTGAGTGTGTATGTGTGCACTTGTGGGTGTGTGCGTCCGAAGGGTGGATTACAAGTCGCTGTAGAAATTATTACGAGTTCTCTTCGCGCTCAGTATTTGTTTTCACTGGACCTGGACAGACACGCGGGATAGGTGTACCCCTATCCCGGGCAGGCCAGTAACTTCTGCTGCTTCAGTGCACAGAATATTTCACTCACACATGTACAGTGGTGGCTAAGAATATAGGTTTTAGAAATCTTATAAAAAAGCAATTAGAAGCTATGAATGTGTCCCGAAAAATTCGTTTTGAGATATTTAAAAAAATATATCCCAAAAATATCTATAATATTTTCCAAGAATATAAAAAATTTGTTTTTAAAATGATTAAAATAAAGTGATCTATTATATTTCCCGCAGCTGTATCTATGGTCAGGTAGCAGCCGTTTCATTCGCGTGCTCTGTTCAGTTCAGTTCCAGTGTGTTACCTTTCCTTGCCGGTAAATGCATTTCAAATGCACACACTCCCTCCGTTCTACAATTTCATTTCACCTCCAGTTCCTATCCTATATTTATGGCTTTGTGAAGGAGACGCAGAAGAGTCAGTGCTTCATTGTACTGCCGGTGGTCGGTCCCTGTCCCTTTTTTGTATGGTTTTACCTCAAACTGTTGACTTTTTACCTACGCTCGGCAGTCAATACAAAGTAATGGTAGGGATAGGGATACGGCTCGGGAGGTTTTTGAGGTCCTTGCTCGATTGTCTTCCGTCCCACTGCTGATTGTGTTCCGATAAGACAAAGTTTCAAAATTATGCACATTTTTTAAGAAGGAAATTATTTAAAAACAAGAGAGGAAGCGAACCTCGGCACGCCGAAGTTTATATACCCTTGCAGAATGAATTTCAATCACTAGGAATTTAAATTATTAATATTTATGTTACAAAACAATGAAGTAATGCATGCTCTCTCTCATCATTCACCTATACATTTTATATTTACAAATAAACATTCACAATTTTGCATTTTTATCTATTTTAACTATCGTTTGTATGGCAGCTATATATTATTGTCGTCCGATTTTAATAAAAAATTTACACAAAATTCTAGATTAATATATTATATATATATATTAAATTTGATGAAAATCTGTTGAAAACTATAAAAGTTATAATATTTCTTTTCCTAACGTTTTCCTATTGTTCCTACCGTAGCTATATATCTGTATATATAGTCCACCGATTCGCCATGCTCCGATTTATATACTAGTAAAATTATATAGAAGAATAAGTCCATAGTTTCGATCAAACGGCTTAAATTTGTTCCAAAACACATCTTGTACATGTGAACTTATGATTCCCAACTTGTTCTAACATCCCCGGAACGAAGTGACTGCTGCCGGCCAAGTATCAGAAATGTGTTGTGTTACAAAAGTTGCAAGTCATTGTTTATTAGTGTTCAAAGTTAGTAACTGATTATACATACTCACTGGTTATAGATACTTACTCATCGTAGTTACTTACTGGTCATAGATACTTACTGTTCAGAGTTACTTACTGGACAGAGATACTTACTGTTCAGAGTCACTTAATGTTCTTTAAAACTTACTGATCAGAGTTACTTACTGCTCCTAAATGCTGTTCAGAGTTACTTATGGCTCATAGATAATTACTGCTCATAGATACTTACTGATCAGAGTTACTTTCTGGTCATAGTTAATTAGTGGTCATAGATACTTACTGTTCAGAGTTACTTACTGGTCATAGTTAATCATCATATCATATGATTCCCAACTTGTTCTAACATCCCCGGAACGAAGTGACTGCTGCCGGCCAAGTATCAGAAATGTGTTGTGTTACAAAAGTTGCAAGTCATTGTTTATTAGTGTTCAAAGTTAATAACTGATCATATATAGTTACTGGTCATAGATACTTACTCATCATAGTTACTTACTGGTCATAGATACTTAATGTTCAGAGTTACTTACTGGACAGAGATACTTACTGTTCAGAGTCACTTAATGTTCTTTAAAACTTACTGATCAGAGTTACTTACTGCTCCTAAATGCTGTTCAGAGTTACTTATGGCTCATAGATACTTACTGCTCATAGATACTTACTGTTCAGAGTTACTTACTGCTCATAGATACTTACTGATCAGAGTTACTTACTGGTCATAGTTAATTAGTCAGTCATATATACTTACAGTTCAGAGTTACTTACTGGTTAGTTATATCATATAGTATTCCGATTTGCATACAATTTTACACAAAATTCTAGATTAATAGATAATGGCAACATTAATAATGATAGCGAAACGAGAATTGTTTACAATGAAATAAAGATAAACATAAACATTTCATTGCCTGAAATTTAGAATGTGAATATATAAACTTCTGATCCGAGTGGTTTCTAAATCAGACGAATTCATAATCTCTTCCAAATCAACAATAAATAACACAAGCATTAAAAAGATTTTAAGGCGTGAAAAACACCACGGTGTTCCCAAATCCCTGCCATCCAAGACTAATTGCGCTGCCCACTTGAATGACATCTTACTTAATGTTTGACATAGTTTCAATACTGCCGCAAGAGCTCCCTCAAACAACGTTCATTGCTCCTGCCAGATCGAGTCCATAGGGTCTATTAATACCGATGTCGGCGCCCCCATTAACGACTTGTTCGCAGCACGCGGAAATCAACCAACCAACGAAAGACACAAACAATCCTCGAACATGATCTGTGGCCCATTATTTGGTCAGTAGGGTGTGTCGATTGCTGCATATATGCAGAAAATCTGAAAAACCATTTGGGCGGAAAGCTATTTATGACCGAATATTGTTGCCTATTGGATTTATTATAGTAATTTTATATTTAAAATTGATTAAAAACCAATTCACACATAGTTTGATTTTGACTATGTATTTATTCTCAACTTAAAAATACATATATCACAACCACTTATGAGAAAAATGAGAACAAGGCTTCTAGTTTCGAAAAAAAACCCAGCCACCCTAATGAAAAGGAATCAAGAACTACACACCGAGCACCCAAATCAGATTCCTCTATTTATAGTATACATAGTGTATGTGAGATGAATGCAGTCACTTTTAGCACTTCTTATTCATTCACTTCTTGACTTCTCATCCGCACAGCAAGCCAAGCAGCAACGATGTGGCACTTGCTGCGAGCCCTGCTCGTGATAGCCGCCGTTTTGGATGCACTGCAACCGGCGGTCGGCCAGAGTGACACGTACTACAACATTAACCCGAATCAGCAACAGCAGCAGCAGAATCCCCAGCAACCTCTCCTGCCCAACCAGCAATGGGGCAACATAAACAATCCCCAGACCAATCAATATGGCATTAATAGTCTGAATAATCAGCAATCGAATCCCAACGATCGTCCGCCCTACAGGACGGATTCGGGAGGAAGCTTCAACGATCTAACCGGCCAGGATGAGTATGGCAAGCGAAACGGATATCTGGACAACGAGGAGCCGAGCTTGACCAGGGGAAAGTCATCGTATAATGTCAAGGCCACCTTTCTGGAGTCGCTGCACTCGAGGGAGCCTACCTACTTCATTGTGGCCTCGCGAATGGTCAGGCCGGGTCTAATCTATCAGGTTTCGGTGTCCATTCTTCAAGCACAATATCCCATAACCGTGCATGCCAGTATCTCCTGCGATGGCGTTCAAATCAGCGGTGACTCCAAGGATGTCAAGGAGGGAGTGCCAGAGACATTGCTTATGAGGATTCCACCCACCAGTGTGACTGGAAACTATAGGCTGCGAGTGGAGGGCTTCTACCAGAATGTCTTTGGTGGCCTGGCTTTCCTCAACGAGACCAGACTGGACTTCTCCCAGCGTTCTATGACTATCTTTGTGCAAACGGATAAGCCTCTTTACATGCAGGGAGAGACTGTGAGGTTTAGGACCATTCCTATCACCACAGAGCTGAAGGGATTTGATAATCCCGTGGATGTGTATATGCTGGATCCCAATAGGCACATTCTAAAGCGTTGGCTTTCGCGGTGAGTTTCATATTATCACTAATAGTCAAAGATGAATTCCTTATACTTAACATTATTTATTACATTTCCAGTCAATCAAATTTGGGTTCCGTTTCCCTGGAGTACAAGCTCTCCGATCAGCCTACCTTTGGCGAATGGACCATCCGTGTAATTGCTCAGGGCCAACAGGAGGAAAG